GTTGTTGAAAGACCCGGGAATTTTGCACGCGGGCGGAACGGGCTGAGGCGAGGCTAGGCTGAGGCCAAAATATATATATATATATATATATATATGTATATATATATACGCATATATGTGTGTGTGTGTGTGTGTGTGTGTGTGTGTGCGTGTGTGCACGCGTAAATATATGTATATATATATATATATATATATATATATATATATATATATATATATATATACATATATACATGCATATATCTACATCACGATCGTTCCAATATTGCACACGCAGCATGTCCATCTTTCATCCTACGAGAGACCATGTGGAGAGATGACCGTGCAGGATGCTCCTAATGTGTACAACTGCGAGTAAGAAACCTGGTTGAGATGGCACAGTAGCGAAACATGGTTGCTAAAGGTAGAGCACGCTTTCGTCAAAAACTACAACACCTGCGCGTGACAAAACTGTCCACACATCGCACTCGCATGGCAAGTGTGATGCGGATGACACTAAACCAAACCAACCAAAATGCAATAGTACATATCAACCAAACCAAAATGCAATGGTACGTATCGCTGCGCGCGACAACCAGGCCAAAATGGGCATCTCAAAGTTTCGACGATCGGCCTCCCCGTTCGCGAGGTTTCGAAGAGTGGACGAACGAATGAACGAAACGAAACGAAAAAACGAAAAAAACGAAATGAAAAAACGAGTGAGTGAATCTGGCGCTTCTAACTCACTTAGTTCCTGAGATCTCAGCGGGTCAAATTGATCCCCACCCGAGCGAAGGATATCTAACCGGCCACCCGAGTGTGATTTAAGTTTGAGAACCAGTTTTCCATCGTGGATTGCAAAGTATCGCATGCACCAAAGCGAAAGGTTCAAATGCTATATTTCGACATCCTCGACACGCATCCATTACACCAGAATGGACCAGGACGTGCCCTCGGGTCGCTACTTTCGCCGCACTGCCTCCGAAAAAGGTGTCAGGTCGTTTGTCCCAGCCCCCGCCGAAGTACGCTGGTAGCACAACCGCTCTAAAACGCACTTCTCCTACTAGCCCATAGGGTTTGCGTGTTAGTCTTGCTTTTTACAAAGCTTTAAACACAATTCTGTCTCGGCGATTTCGATGCACTGGACACCAAACAGGTTTTTTTTCGTTAAATTTTTTAGTGTTGATCCACTGACCTTTCTTGTGGTCTGGAGAAACCAAACTCTTGCGATGCACACGATCAGCGTGTTTATTTTGTTTTTCATTCAAGGCAATTTTTTACGCCACGCTGATAATTTCCGACTTTCAAAGCGTATGCGTTAGTATAGTATTAGTATATAGTAGTTAGTATATAGCAGTGGTATTAGTAGCTGAATCAGCGACGTGCAGGCTACGTAATCGCAAGATTGTGAGTTCGAAGCTGACCCGTTTCATAATTGTTCTACCAGTCCTTTGTGGAATATGCTGAATTGTTTGTTTACGGCCAATGCGTGCTGTCAGAGTGATGAAGTACGCAATTCAACGTGAGTTTTTTATATGAACGGAACATTCAGTTAACCTTTAATTACATTCACTATTGTTGCATCCGCGCCACGCTATCTTCAGTTACAGACTGTCGAATATTTTGTGTAAGCTTAAGTGTCAGTACTTAAACCGAAATAGGATACCTGCAACTTGTGCACTGAGCTTCATTCTACCCGGCATCTGTTCCCCCGGTTCGTTGTCTCGCCGAACCGCTGAGAAGTTGCATTTCCTAACAGTCCAAGCTCCCACCGAGTGAGAACCGAACTGATGAATTTTCCACCACCGGTCGCCACATTTCCCACCCCGGTTCACACCGTCAGCGCAGGTGCAGTCTGTGCTGCGCTGGCTGTCCAGTCTGGCGGGCGTGTCGCGGTGTGAACCGGGCTTTACAGGAAGCTTCCTTTTGTAATTGTCAGAAAAAAGTAGATCGTTGATCGCGAAATTAAACACGCATCTAAGATATCCAGCGGCTTTCCTATCCAACTTAAGTGTCTTACATGCCATCAGCACAGTGTCTACCAGGGGCGGCGGATAAGGAGAAGAGAGTAGGGCAGCTCCCCCCCCCCCCCCCCTCCGAACCCCGTAACCCCGGGGAACGTTTCACACTCACCCTATGTCGGTGAATTGAAAGAAACGAGATAAAATAATGTTTAATGGAGGTTCCGGATGGTCAACCAAGCTGTCGATTGTTAAGAATAAACTAATAAAAATGATATAATACCGGTGTGCAAACATCTGGCTGGAGCTTTAACTTGATGTCATCATCATGCCGCAGTGTGTTAGAGTTTCTCGCACCTCGGCATGATCCGCAGTTTCCAACACACCTTCATTCACCCACCACCCCGCCACACAGCAATCGTCGAGCTGTAGTCAACTGACTTCGCACATGGAAACCGAACATCCGAACATAAACCGCAACCCGACGCAGGCCGCTGCCCATGCATTCTGTGCTCGTTGATGCGTTCTGTGCGCACTGCTGCAGCCTTGCATCTAGCGAGGTTCGAGGGGCTAAAGAACTTTCCCAGTCAGGCTTCATTCCCCCGGCTTGATCACCACAGTCGCACGCTCCAAACCGGGTGTTACGCGGCTAAGAATAGGCCAAGAAGTTGTGTGTGTGTGTGTGTGTTGCGTGTTGTATCTATGTCGGCAATGCACTCGGTGAGCTTGCCGCCTGTTTCGTTGGTGAATATTCCGATGACTGTAGATTGTTTATGGCGTCCGTTGTGCGTGGCTATGATTTTAGCACAATGTTGCCATGTAGATGCCTGGGGGGGTGGGGGTGGTTCTGGCCCTATTTTGCAGCTGTGCACTGACCTCCAGCCTCACGGACGCTCCGTTTACTCCTCATATCACTTCCCCCACGACTTACACTAAAGTTCAAACCCTATGTATGTAGTATGACACTTGCCATTCTTAAGTCCTGCTTACCATTCATGTCATCGAGCCGAGGACTTTAGTTCAGAACTTCAGACTCCCGGTTTAGCAGTTAGATTTTTTTCAAATGCTTTCTGTGTTTAAAAAAAAAATGAATACGTGCACTTGGCGATTTACCGCCGCCAGTTCACTTCAGTTTTGAGTATGTTTAGCAACAGCATAGCGTACGTGCATTTGGAATTTTTGTACTTCAAGTCTTCCAAGGTGTTTTCATCAATTTCTTTACTTGCAGATATCAGTCTGCTCAAGTAATTATCTTCTGATATCGACATCGTTGTTTCCAAGCCTGGCAAAGGGAGGGTATAGTTGTCATGAACAGTCATACTTTCACAAAATGTGTTTCGTTACCAGTGACTGCTTTAAGGTGGTTGAGTCGCGAGAACCAATTTTGAAATATGTTGTGCTGGTACAGGATAGAATTGATGGATTTCTAAGCTGTTTATTTTCAATGACAAACTGTGTAAACAAAAAAAGGCATGGGGATTAGATTTCCACTTGGACTGACTCATGCAAAAATAATTACGTGCTTCCACTAAAGTACTGGCTATTCACGTCTCTCCTGACTTTCGGCCAGCGTTCTGTCGGCGATATAATGACAGCTGCTTTTTGTTTCTTCGGCATTGGTTTCATATTGAGCAACTTGCCACTACCATAACGTCCAGCATTGTAACATCAAGTTAACGAAGCGGGATGAAGAGGATGAGATTGGCTGTTTGCTCTCCCTTGATGTGTGAATTGGCAAGTAACAAGGGAAAGTTGAAACCGCCCTCTGTGTGCACAGTGCCATAATTTACTAGTCTTGCATTGAGCATTTTGCATTCAATCGTGACGCTTTTCAGCCGTGCGTTGAGAAAACGGCTATTTACGGAGCTTTCCGTTTAAGTTCCAGCTATAGCCCAATTTTTCCGAACTTGATCTGCTCAGATAATTATTTTAGTGACACGGCTTTTTACTAGCATTGCAAGTATTTTCCACTCTTCTGTCCCCAAGAATCATGCCAATAAATTATTTTATTGTTGGATCTTTCTCCAAATGAAAAGACAGGGTTCCCAAATGTGTTGTCTCCGCAGTCATCTATAGATATGTTAATGCCTCCTGGGGAGCATCATGCGGCTCTATCCTGCGCATCTTGCACTGCTGGGTGCTGCAGCATTTGGGAAGATCTGATCGTATCGGTAACATTCTTTCTAACCCAGACTCTCCACTTATCCGAGGCGTTCCAATTATTGTGACACTCCCTTTAACATTGTCATTTTGCATTTTAGGACTTTGCAGCAATCCTCTCGATCTCAGGATTTTAGAATCCCTTTGTATTCACCAAAAAATCCGTGGTCTAAAGACCGTGCAATTATGGAGTCTGCATATTTTTTGCAATTCATAAGGCAACCTTTTTCGAACGGAGTTTAAAAGACTTTTCATCGCGTGGTTTTGCATTTTTTTAAGCTGCCTTGTTTCCGCGCAGAGAAGTGGTGTGCTTGTGTTTGGTTGTGTTAACCAATACTATTGGTATGGGCGATATAGGTGATGTAACTTAGCGATGCATGATAGATGTATCCTTGAAACAAGCGTCACTGGACCTTCATGTCTTTGTTTCCTGATGACGATACTCAATACTGTATTGATGCGTTGAAGGATTACTTAAATGATGGTGGCTGATGTCCTGGCTATCAAGTTGTTATTGTTCCTATATCTATGCATATATATATATATATATATATATATATATATATATATATATATTTAAGATCTTGAGAAAAAGCAAGAGCTTATGAGGACGCATGATAATAAATACCACATAGACGCATGCATATCAAAACAAGCATGATATGTGGGACGCTATGATAATAGATGCCGCATAGTAAATGCATAAATATAGGCGTGATGCGGGGGGGGGCTATATCATAACAAATACCAGGGGACTGAAAGAAGTTATACCTTTTTGCAAGCGAGGGAAATACGAAGGGTGTGCATGGCAAGATCAGGTCATCCATCACGGAAGACTGCATGCAGTCAGCGACTCAGAAGCGCCACATGCACATGATCTGCATTAACTGAGTGGCTCACCTGTTCCGCTGACGACGACGGCGCGCGTACCATCCACGGCCAGCGCTGATGGAGCACTGCCATCGGCTGTGGGTCGGCCGAAGTAGTACAGTCAGGCAGAGATGATGCCAGATGCGGCGCAGGGGCAGTCCTGGGCGTGACGTGGGACCGTTATGTGGCTCTTCAATGCACCTCAGCGAGGGGGGGGGGGATTGTGTAGACGTCAGTCTGCGCACTGTGTGCTCGCCACCGGGGCGCTGTTTGGAATTCATGTGATGCATCCTCTGCACACCGGTTTCTGCGAATTTATTCAGCATCAACACATCAGAGACTGTTGCACGAATATTGAAGCGAGCCTGGGGCTGCTTTCATAACTGGTTTGCACGCTCACAGTGCCTACCCTCATCATGGTAAATGGGAGGCTGGTGTAGAACAAACGTCCGTCGATATGCAGGTGCAAATATTCTTCACAGGGAGTGCAAAAGAACATGGCTTCACATCTTAACACTCACCCGGGTAGGGGCCAATCCCCCCCCCCCGCTCCGGGATATTTGCACAATAATTTCTGAACGGGGCGGCCTGGCAGCGCCTAAATGTGCATAACTGTAGACAATAGCGGGTCTTTTGGTATAAAATGATTAGATATACCGTTTCAGGTGGCTGACCTATGGTGGATCAAGGTCAGGACGTGGCTGTCGGCAAAGGTAATTTCTCGAGAATTGTTCGATCTGATGTGACAACGGAGAGTTAGACGAATCCATGCATATATAATATAATTTGTTTACTTTTAGTATAGTATAATTTGTTTACTTTTAGTATAATACAACGTAGTTCACTTAAGAATTGGAGCAAATCTTACTGATCGGGAGCCAGGTATGACGGGTTGGCTCGGGTCAAAACCAATTTTTTTTGCATGGAGGGCTTGCTTTATGTGGTATTTATTGACGGTCATTTCACATTTATTGATTACAGGGACTGCAACAGACATCTTCCATACACTTCGTAAAGTCAGAAGTTATTCACGTAAATGGCTCACATAAACTTTTTGTTTTTAGGAATGTACGGCCTGGTGTTATTCTTGAAGCTTACTCCAATTACAATATTTAAACAATATGATGGGTTTTCGATCATCACGACTTGCTTACAGTCAAATAAGTAAGTTGACTGACCTCAAATCAACATCGATGACCCTTTGTTTTGACAGGTATCTTGGTTCAAAGCGGATACATGAGGTCAGAAGGCTATTTAGACGTCAATTTGACGTTTGATCTTTGGCCTTATTTGACCCAAGTGTCAAGGCACATGGACCTCAACTTTTGACAAAAGTGAGTTCACAAACAGACCAGCCACCCTGTGAATTTGGTGTCTTAGATCCTTTTCATTTTTTTTTTATCTAAGGGAGCTTAAACTCACATCTACCTGAGCGAAGAGTATTTGACCGGCCACTTGGGCGCGTGCGCAGCTTGAGGACACAAAACACAAAACTTCCGTGCTTTGAACAGATACGGTAGAAAACTATTCATGCATATGAGGTCAACAACAAAATCTCGCATTTAGAGCCGCCTCCAGCGATGGGATTGAGGGCAACTCATAGTATCTGGAGCCCAAAGGCTTAAGTTCTGAGCTTAATCTTAAAATTCTGAAATTGGCCCAGGCCTGAAATTGGCCCAGGCGGACCGTTTCGTTCCAAGAGTCCGCCTACAGATAACTGACCTAAAGCTTTAGCGTTTTAAGTAGTGGGTGCGGGCCCGTGCTCGGTGTCTGGACCAATGACCTTCGCTGTATATAACTCATATCGTGTCCTAGATAAAGTCACTGATCCGAAAAGCTTAAGGACGATCTTTGCCGAGCTATTCATTCTCGTGCTTCACCACCGAAATATACGCTACTTTCCATCACCAGATACGTGCCCAAAAGCAGGGCAATAATGTCACCCCAAGGCGCAGACTGACTGGCGGAATTGTGATATGTGTGGCGCAATGCGTGTGTGCGTTTGTGCAAATGCATTAACACGCGCTCGGGTGGGGACTAATTTGTCCCCCCCCCCCCTCCCCGAGGGTAATCCCATAATAATTTCAAAACAGCGCTCCGCGGCCGCACCAAGTTCTGCGTAGCTGCACACAGCTGAATAGCGAATCACTCAGCATCAAACATTTAGATGTACATTGTAAGGTCGCTGACCTGTGGCAGGTCAAAGTCAGGTCATGGATTCAGCAAAAGCAATTACTAGGAAATCGTTGAACCTGACACAACAACGGAGTGTTAGGCGAAGCCATACTTATCAGGGCCAGTGATAAAAAGTTTGTATTCTCCTTATGCCAAAAAGCCCTCCTGCAAATGGTTTTAGGGAGCATGGTGACTTAAGTCATAGGTCTGTCAGGTGTTTAAGCTTTTCAAGGCAATTAAAAAAGTTGTTTAAATTTCGTCATATAAGGGCCACCGTACAGTACAGCCCACCGCCATGGCACTTATCGTTATAATGTTTACCATCCTGCCTTTAAACACATCTGCTCCCCAATCAGAGGTGCTCGCAATGTTATTGTGCCATCGTTGCTGCACTGGCCCTGAGTCGGCATTGCCGGCCCTGCACAGCAGTGGCCGCCAGCATCACAACTTAACCACCTAGCACAGTGCTGGTCCTACATCTGGCCGAGTTGGGGACGGCCAGCTTTGGACCGCTACCGTCGCGATAGGTTCCCTGCGTCTGGGGCAGTCATGCTATGCACCCCAGCTATAGGCTGTTGCGTGTAGCCCATGACCGCATAGCACCTGTATAGCCCCCGTATATTCTCATATCTATCAAAATATGCATAGCACCGAGTACATTCTATAGGTATAAAAAAGATCATGTGTATTTCTTGTAATAACTTGCAGCACGTTTCACAGCACACCAGCTGCATCTTCAGGTTATACAATATGCATGAATATATATATATATATATATATATATATATATATATATTCATGCCGAGGAGTTAAATTCATCCGTTTTCTTTTTATGTTGAACTTATTTAACTGACGGGAATCATTAAGGTACCGGAAAATGCAATCTGGTATGCATTAAGAAGCCAATAAACAAATAAAGTCGAAGTCAAATGACACTATCCAATGGATCACGGACGCCCTACACCCTGCACGGGTTTGTTGGACCACGTTTGCGAGACGACTACAGTCAGCGACGCTGCCGGATTTTCTCGGGAGTTAACAGATATTGGGGGATGCATGGACTGGACGACAGCGTAGACTGAAGATCGAAACAGAGTCAAATGTTTGCATTGATGCGTCGTACCCTTGTCCGCAGGTGAAACTTCATCCATTTTCAGAATCTATCAGCGGAAATTATCGCGAATACCTTTGAGCATGCGCACGAACCGTCTAGGAGAAAGCACTCCGGTTACTGGTGTTACAGTCTCCATGGGCTGCGCGGTTAATGCCCGGCGGTAGTCAATGGGCTGGCGAAGACGACCACGTATCTGAAACTGCCGATTTGGAGTGCTTTATGGGATCAATCGGTGTACGTGTAGAAAATATTACTGGTCGTGAGTTTCTCCTGTGCGACATTTAGATTGATGCTCGTCACGGGTTATCAAGTACAGTGATACGCACCCACGACGCAATAACGTAATCGCCACTGCTCGTGTTGCCGTAACAAGTGATTGCGTTCAGTGAATCGACTTAGAAGATGCGCAGGTAGCTTCTTCTGATCAGAAGCTGAAGTTCCAACCCGAAGTTCCTGGGCACTGCCAATCTGACGAGACGGGTACAGGGTCCTCCTTGTCGATACGAAGACCCACGGAGGAATATATCGTACACCAGTCCCCTTCCATGATGCGACAGGTCCTCTGGCAAAAACGTCTGACAACAAATCAACACAGGGGCCGTTATTGATGGACAAGGATCCCTTACCAGCGCGTGCTGTTTGGTGATTGGTATCGAGACACTAATTCGGGTTATCAACTCGTCGTTGAAACTGTGAGGAGGGGCCTCCATTCCGCACCGGCGTTTCTGATCGACACAGGCGCTCTGTACTGTCTCGTTGTAGATGTGAGCCCTTGGATTGTCATTTCTAATATCACTTCTCAATGTCAAAAAGGCCCCGGCCACCGCAAAGAGCCTTTTGACATTCAAGGTTTCGTCCACGTCCCCATTCCGCAAATGTCCCCCTGGCCGCCCTGGGGCCCATCATCGACACAGGGTCCCTTGTTTGGCACTGTCGGTTCCTGACCAGTACAGAGGCTGCTCACTGTTCCAAGCCCCCTGATCGACGCTAGAGCCCTTCTGATTGATATTTGCAGGCTCGGCCTTGCCCCTGCATGCGTAGAGGATTATTTCTAGGACCCAATGACAAATCCTGGCAGGGAACCGACTATTCAGCACTGGTAGCTTCAGTCTGGTGACTGAAGAGAGGCCCTCACTGTCTTAGGCGGGCCCTGATCAGTGCATAAGGCCTCTGACTGACATTTGACATTTTGACATTTTAGTGTGCGGTCTTCCGGCTAGGGTCTCCTCATATAACCATTGGCCTGACTTTCGTATCCTAAAGTGGACCATTCACCACCGGCCACGAAGGCTCAAAGGGCTCATCGGGAATCCCGGGGTCTAAGGATCGCGGAGGGAGAGTGCCTTCGTGTCCAGTGCTTTCCATTTTTACGCGCCTAATGGTTGTACCCTTGAAATTTGGTTTCTCTTCAAAATAAAGATGCTGGGATTTTTGTGGTGTCCCCTGGAATTTCCTGGAAGAGAAGATCACGATGCCGCAAATGACGGCTTTTGATGCCCTGTAGCGAGAGGGGCCGATCCAAGAGTGCATCATGATGGAAAACAAAGAAATTGTGATGTCCAGAATTTTGATTCCTTTGAGAAAAAAGTTTTGTGGTCATTTCAACGGCCCGCTTGGTTTGGAACCTGCCGGAAAGAAATGTTATGCTGCCCTAACGTGAAGAGCTTGATGTCCTCTCGTTGACCGGGCCAATCCAGGATATTGTCAGTCGAAAGACATATCCATTGTGGTGTGTTGTATTGGTCCGGACTGCTGCTCACAACATGCCGGTGTAAATGGCCAGCCCCGGCCGAGTCGCCCACACACGGCCCGC